AGGAAAACCATAGAGTTTGTTTCACGTATTATGTGCTTATTAAATTACGTTCTATTAATCGTATTACTTTACAATTATATTATTGTAATATTGAATTAGGTTTTATTTAGTTTATTACATGAATATTGTAAAACTGTTTGAACAATTATCAATAGCTATTAAATTTTTGTTGCAGGAAAAATATATTAACCACTAGAGGCGCCACAAACCATCACGTCACGTGGGACAGCCATTTATTGGCATTCTTATAATTTTATCTATTTTGCTGTATAAAAGTAAGTAATATACAAAGTAAGTTAAATAAAACGTAACAACGAAAAATGACATAAACAGTTATTTAAATCAAAAATAATAAAATAGTAATACTTGTGGTTACAAAAAATATTTAAAACTAAAAAAAGTAATACAGTAGAATCCCGTGAACTCGAACTCTAAAGAAGTTTATATATTTTGTCCGACTAAGTGAATGTCCGAATTAAGCGAAGCCCTTGTTATGTTGGACTTTCTGAAAATGTCCGACTTATCGAAAACTCGAGACTTATCGACAAAGGAATGTTTTTGGTGTTGGGTGTTTAAAAGCCACATATTACGTACTTTATCTAAATCCTTATTTAGGAAGGTTTGGTTCCTCGCTCTATTCGCAGAAGCTTCATTTTTTAGACTTCTGAATATATAGTGTTTTTTTTTCGTTTTACTATGATTCTCTTTTGTTAAATTTATAGCAATATGTAATTTTATGTTATGGTTCTACTTGTTAGCTTTCTTTTAGCAACCTTTCATTCATTTTTAATAAATAAAATTAACCGAAACGAAGATATCAGAAAAATGTTTAGTTTGTTAATTTATATTTGATGCTAAAGTATTTAACTTTTGAACGTTTTAAGTTTTAAATTTTAATTGATAATTTTTAATTTTTAGTATAATCGTCAATAATAGAATTTAATCGAAGCTTAGCCGAATCAAAAGTTTTAGTGAAAAGGTTTAGTCATGTTTAATTATATTTGATGCAAAGGTATTTCATTTGGTATTTCAAAGGTATTTCATTTGTGCTCAAAGTATTTTTATTAAAATATTGGATTTTTTGTTGCACTAATATAATAATATGGATTTCAAAATAAAAATTTGGGGAAGTTTTATTGCCAAAGAGACCTCAAAAAACAATTCGAGTAAGCGAATGGCCTGACTTAATCAGTGTGAAATTGAACAATGGTCCGATTTATTATAAGTCCAACCTATCCAGGGCCCGTGTTAACGAGATTTTACTGTATTATCAAAAAATAAATAAACAAAAAATAAACTATAATGAAAATTAAAGATAAAATTAAATAAAAAAAGAAGCTTTAAAAAAAAGAAAAAGTTTACTATTGTTACATGCACCTTTTTAGCGTTAATTTACACCGTTTTGGTGTTAAATTACACCGTTTTGGTGTACTTCATGCTGCCACACTTTTAGTGTTAATTTTCACGTTTTTGGTGTTTATTTAGACTGTTTTGATCAAGTGCTGTCAACTCGCTTTAAAACATGTAATTTGTTTACAGAGAATTGTGGGATGCCCTGTTAGTATAACATTTAAAAAACAAATAAAATAACGAAAAAACTAATTCAAAGTTAAAACAAACAAATGCTAAGAAAATGCTAAGAAAAGACAATGTTAACAAAAAAATGTGAGCATTAGTTACATATGCTTTTCGATGTATACTATTTATAATTAAAGTATGTAAATTAATCAGTAAAATAACTTAATAAAATCAAAACAAAAGCTTTGACTTATGGGAAACTTATGACTTTAGGGAAACAAAACACATCAGTTTGAAAAGTTGCACAACGGCAAATCTTATTTTGCGTTTCAAAATGTTACAAAAAATATATATATTAAGGACTAAACTATATCAATAGCACTAAAAACTTAATCCTTAGTTAGTAAAGTTAAGTACTTACCTATCTTTGTTTCTTGGAAAATGAAAAAAATGACACATATTTATTGGCTACTCCACTTGTAATTGTGCAGTTAACTGCTTCTCAATACAAAGGCATTTCTTTATAAATGAAAACTATTATTTATTGAAGGAAAAACGCTATATATCTTCGGATATAAGAGCATTGCAGGCCCGCGTCAACGGAGAGGGGAGGGGAACAGCATGGGCATTGTCCTTTCCCCCTCTTCAATAATTTTTTAAACAAATAATTTTGAAAAATATGACTGAAAAATTGACTAAAACAAAAAGGTCCTTAAAACTTTTTCGGGGCTCCTTAATCCAGCACTGCCTCCACCCCAATATTATTTTTGTTCCTACGGGCCTGTATTGAATAGAAATACATAGCATGAAAATTCAAATAAATAAAAATAAAATCAATAAATCCAAATTTATTGTTTTAAATTTTTTAAGTTAAATTTTATACCACCAGGACATCCGTAACTCCTTGCCCATACGATTACACTTTAAACAATATAAATAAAAAAGAGTCGGTAGCGGTTTTGAGTATTTCAGGCTAGTTTCAAAAAAAAATTTATATATATATATATATATATATATATATATATATATATATATATATATATATATATATATATATATATATATATATATGTTTGATGTGTATAACATCAACAAGCTTTTTGAGGGGCCACCACAACACCTTCATAGCATAGAAGATATTCGTCTCCTTCATATTAGCCTTTATGCTGCATGTCAGCCATTTCTGAATTTTGCTTAATAACAATTGAGCGAGGATTTAAATAATACACAATAGCCATTAAAAAGTTTTTGTTATCGTATTCCTAGAATTAAAAAAATAAAAAAATTAACAAACATGATTTTTCATTCCTTATTTATTGGTATAAGAAAGTCCTACAAAACAAGTTAAACATAATAACTTATTATTAAAATTATTAAAATATCTTAAGTTAAGTTATTTTAATACTCTATTATGGCATACTTATGGTGTCTTCAGCACCTATACACGCACACACAGATCACATATATATAGGGGAAATCAGGGCCAGATGACGAATGGGGCAAGATGGTTTTTCATATAACAACTCATCAAAAAAAACTTAAAAATAAGTGAAATTGAAACTATATATACATCTTTTATTTTAAAAGGCTAAATGGTTTTTTTAAATATTTTAAACGCAATTTTATACGCATAAGTTAATGCGCTTAAAAAAAAATACCTAAGTTTCGGTTTTTCATAATCCATGGTGTCCTTCAGGTATAACTTTTTTAGAATCATTTTTTGCAACGCGTGTTTATTTTTTGTTATTTTTTGTTAGAGTAGTTGGTAATTTTAAAATTTTTATAAAATTGGAGGTATAAATTGTATAATAACTCATCTTGCCTCGTCATGTGACCAAATGACAAGTTTATGAACTTTTTATTTCAAGTTTTTCTAATTGCAAACAAAAAATTCATGCAGGCAATGAATAGCTACGATAACATAAACATGCTAACAAATTATTATTAAATATTATTGCTTCATGACTTTGCGATAACTCAGTCCTTTTAAAACTTTCGCCATTTCGCTCCGTCTTTCCCTATACAGAGCCGGCACGAGTTGGTGTCACGTGAGGGGAGTGTCATTACAGTTTTGCTGACTAAAAAAAAAAAAAAAAGTCCTCGTTTTCGGAAATTTGCCGACTGACTTGTCTAAATAGTCTACATTTGCCGACTGACTTCTCTAAATGAATCATATTTGCCGACTAAATGAACAAAAAAAACGTTGATGAGAAAAAGGAAGTAGATTGCATCTCCCCCTCCCCTCCATTCCCCTCCCCCTCCCCCCCCCTCCCCACACACACACACCTCCGGTATGTTATGCTGTTCTCTATATATTCACTGCCTCGTAAATTAACTTTTTAGTTTATTTACGAGGCAGTGAATATGTGAGCCGTGAGCCTCTCATCTTAGAGATTAGGTATTGTTTTGATTTATTTTAAATTTTGTTTCAAAGCTCTTTGGCGTAAGATTTTTAAAAAACATAAAGATCATGTGTTATTTGATGTGAATATCAGTTGGGATAAAAATGTTAATTAATTTAACTAATTTCGATATGAATATATACTTTTATATATTTATATATTTTTGATATGAATATATATATTTTAAGAATAATAGTAATAGTAATAGTTAGTAATATTTATTGCTGTAAAATTTATTTAAGTATAAATATTTAAAAATAAAATAAGTTGTGGAACGCGATTCAAGCATCGGGTTATAGACAGCTCACACAATTTAAAAAAAAAACTCAAGTTATCAAAAATCTTTATCTATTTGCGCTTTGAAAACATTCAAATATCTTGCGTCAATAATTTCATTTGGTAACAAGTTCCAACTTTTACAAACTCGATTGGTAAAAAAATTATATCTCGGTAAACATGATGGTATGTATTCTCTTTCTAACCTGTATTTATCGCCCCTTACAGAAAAAGCCGGGCCTGAACTCGTCACGAATGATGCCAGTTTTAAATTTTTGTACCAATTTATTTGGTCTATATTTTGCTTGAATCTGTATTGTTGTATAAGATCTCCTCTAGCTCATCTTTTCTCCAATGTTGTTAAACCCATTGCTTTCAGTCTTTTTTCATATAAAATCTTTTTAATTTGTGGAACTAACTTTGTTGCTCTTCTTTGCACTTTCTCTTACTCATCAACATCCCGTTGCAAATAAGGCTGCCATGCAGGTATAGCGAACTCAAAAAGCGGTTTCACAAATGTCGCATAAGTGATTTCACCATTTCCACATCAAAGTATGTAAACGTACGTTTAATTAGACCCAAAGTTCTTTGTGCTTTTGCTGTCGCTGAAGTCACTTGATCATGCCATTTAAGGTCGGATGAAATAATCACTCCTAAATCTCTTTCACTTACTGTTGTTTTTAATTTGTGCTCTTTGCCGTTGTGGGTCATATAATAACTCATTCGTGGATTTTTTTTACCTACATGCATCACCTTGCACTTTTCGATATTCAACTTTGTCAACCAGATATTCGTCTACTTTACAAATTCATTAATGTCATTCTGCAAAGACTCATGATCTTCAACATTTTTTATAACTTTAATTAGTTTACTGTCATCTGCATATAATTTGCAATTGGAGTTAATAATTGATGGTAGATCATTTACGAATATCAAGAATAACAAAGCACCAAGCACAGAGCCTTGAGGCACACCACTAAAAATCTCAAGCCATGGAGACACGTTTACACCCATCACAACTCTTTGCCTTCTTTCTTTTAAAAAAGACGATATCAAGTCATTTAGTACACCCTTGATACCATATGTTTCACACTTTTTCAACAGTCTTTTATGTGGAATCTTATCAAAGGCTTTGGCAAAATCCATATAAATCATATCTACCGCTAAACTGTCACTCATGTTTGCTATTAAAATGTCTAATGTTTCTAGCAAATTTGTTACACAGGCTTTATTTTTTACGAAGCCATGTTGATTTTTTGATAGCAATTTATTTTCCATCAGATGAGTCATTATCGCTTCTTTTATAAAAGCTTCCATAACTTTGCATGGTATAGATGTTAATGATACGGGTCTGTAGCTAAGCGGCTCTGTTGTATTTCCATTCTTGAATATTGGAAATTTTCAATTGGAATATTTAGTTATATCTGCTTCTTTTCATTTGCTAGGAATTTTTCCTGTTTCAATTGATTTTTGGTAAATTAAAGTTAATGAAGTTGCTACACTACTTGAACAATTTTTAAATACGTAAGGATTAATACCATCACTACCACATGCTTTGTTGACATCCAAAGAAATCATTTTTTGCTGAACTGCCTCATTTGTAACAACATTTATCTAATCCTATTCAAGAGGTTTTGTAATACGTGGTTTAAACTCCGGAATTTCACCAAGCTCTTTAAAAAAAACCGATTGAAAACTTTTGTTCAATATATTAACAATCTCATGCCTGTCAGATGTGAGTACATTTGCGTAGTTTTTCATTGATTGTATTTTACCGATGTTTTTTTGGTTCTTTCTTGCGTATTTGTAGAATAGTCTTGGATTTTTTTTGCATTATTTATGAGTTTTTTCTCATAATTAATAATGGATTCTTTTAACTTGCTTTTGACTAATTTTTTTACTGTTTTGTACTCATTTAATTTATTCAGATATTTAAATTTACCAGCTCTTAATTGAGTCTATAAATTTTTCTTTTTACGTATTAATGCTTTAATTTCGTCTGTTATGCATGAGTCTTTTTTAACTTTTTGATCATACCTGGCTCTTTTTTTAGGAATATTCAATTCAATCAACTCATTATATTTTTGTACGAAAGCACTGTAGCAATGATCCACGTTTAAATCCTTGAATAAATCATACCAATTTATTAAATTAAAACCAAGATTTATTTTTTCATAGTCTCCTCTTTGGTAATTTATATCTTTACTATTAAGTTGTATAGGGATTGTGTCAGCATCTTGCATGTCATATTTGAATTGAATTACATAATGTGCTTTTTCAATTGGTCCAAGTGGTGCGCCTATTTCTACGTCTCTAATCCTTTTGCAGTTATCTGTCATTAGTAAATCAAGTGTGTTTGTAGGTTCATGGTCGGATATTTGAAATGTTGATCAAAAAATAAATTGTTCAATAAAATTTTCATTTAAATTATCAATAAATTTTAAACTAATATCACAGTTTTGTTTCAGTTTTGTTCCACCATCTTTGTCCCATTTTATGCGTGGATAATTAAAATCACCAGTTATAATTAACCCAGTGAATTTTTATTTTGGTCTACTAGACCTTTGGCTGTTCCAAGCACTGAGTTAATTTTAGTGTTTAAGCCTTCTGGACAACTTGGTGGTCTGTAAATACATCCAATTAATAAATGTTTTGATCCGTTGGTCAAACTACACCATATCTGCTCTATTCCATTGTCACATAATGCTAAATGACTAACACTTGTTGTGATAAATGTTGATTTTGCATAAATCACTACTCTTCCACCATTTTCACCAAACGGTCTGTTTTTATTGTAGCAGTTGTACCCATCAATATTCATAATTGATTTATCATTGAACTACATTTCACTTACTGATATAATATAAGGTTTATCACAGGACAAGTACGCTTTAAGTTGTTGCATTTTATTATTAAGTGAAATTGCGTTGGTGTACCAAAGTTTGATGTGATTTTTGGGTGGGTTGTTGTTTAGTGATTTTTCGAGACTAGGTATTGATTTTGATCTACCAATAAATTTAAACACAGCATTTCGTAATACATTTACATGTGAATATGAACCATGATTTGAGTTTTTATCCTTTAGATCATATAGCTATTTTTTGATTTTCGTTACTTTTTCATTTCGAATCCCATAGTAGAACTCGTTTTTTATATTCTCTTTGTTTTTATTTCTGCTTTGATTTAAATCTCTCACTTTCCGTTAAACCGGGATTAATATAGACATTTTTATATTCTTTCGAGTCTCGTAATTCTTTGGCTTTTTTTAAGATAGAATTCTTTTCTCTTTTACCTTTCAATATGACAACAAATGGGGCTTGATTATTGGTGTTTCTTGGTTTTAGTTTCATAAAATTTTAAACATTAACAGTTACTTGCAATTTTTTAAAAACATTAATTATAGCTCGTCTATTTTCTTCTTTCTCTTTACTCTTTTCATCGTTTTCCGATGGTTTAATTCCGAAAATAACAACATTTTTCTCTCTTCTTTCTCGTTCTTTTGTCTCACTAGTAACGGAGTTTAGTATTAGCATTTGTTCCGTTTACTTTTTTACCATGTTTGCCCACGTTACATTGTTATTTATATGACTGGTACTTGATTTATGCATTTCTAAATCATCTACTCTTTTTGTTAAATACATATTATCAGTTATTACTTTTTCAATTTGAAGCATCAGATCTCCAATAATTTTGTTCCTGTTGAGCCTTGTAGACATTAAGCTCTTGAGCATTTACTCTTTTCTTGAAAAAATTAATATTATATTCACTAGTTCTTCAAACTCTGTTGTTTTTTCGTTAAATCTATAAAATTTAAAAGAAATATTTTTATCTTAAAATTAGACTTTGAATTTAAATTTTAACATGCATGTTAATTTAAAACTACAATTATATTAAGACTAATTTGTAAATATTAAAATATTTTTCAACGTATTTTATATACAGTTTGGCCTAACATCGCGTAATAATTTTATTGATATTGATGTTAGAAATGCAGCGAGATATTTTTTTAAAAAACTGAATTGTTACAATAAATATAGTAGATTCAATACAAAAAGATTTGCGTCAAACTTTCAAGTTCTTGTTTACTATTATTTTCCGGCATTAATTTTCTATTCGCCTCTTAAGTTCGAACAAATCCTTCTCTCTTTTCATGAGTGTATTCTACCTTCTATTGATTTCAGAAGTTGTAAAAGAGGTAGTTAAAACCGATTCATAAACCGGTGACTCCCATGATATTAGGCCTACCAATATTTTAGCATTAAAATTCAGAACAGGAGTTTTTCACCTTTTTGTAGATCTTCGTTTCCAGTACCGCTAAAAGCTTTTATCATATTAATAACTGTACTTTTATTATTTTCAGTATTAGAACACAACAATCTTTGTAGTATACACTCATTGAAACAAAACCAAGCTGATCTTTAAATAGATGGTGATACTATTTTAATGACATCTTCTAAGGTGATAGACCTTAAATTTTATAAATCTTTACATTGAGATAGAGCCATATTCTACATATCTGTTAGCAGTAGTTAACCATCTTGAAACTGAAACAGACCCAATTTGTAATAAATAAATTTTGGAGGTAAAACACCACTTCTTTTTCAGTGGTAAAATATCATCATCATCATTTCACTGGCACAAACAACTTTATAACCATAAAATTGTTCTGCAGACAAGTCATTTATTATTTAATAATCAAGAGAAATAAGTAGATTTCCAATTTGAATATTTTCAAAGATTATATATATATATATATATATATATATATATATATATATATATATATATATATATATATATATATATATATATATATATATATATATATATATATATATATATATATATATATATATATATATATATATTTGGTTTTATTTAAACATTGGTGATCGCATCCTTACGGTGTACTTGAAATCCATAAAACCCGTTCATTGTTTTTGCAATAGAAATATCTAAAAAGTTAAGTTGTTTCCTTTCATTTTTAAGTTCAATAGTATATTTTATGAAGGGGTTTTTTTTCATTTAAAGTTTTAAGAAACAGTTCACGTTTTTCTTTTGAATTGAATGAGCATGGGTATCATCTACATATCTTTTGTAAGGTATTGGTTGGACTACTAATATATATAAAACCTTAGACAAAAACAACCATTTTATTTTTTAAAAATGGCCAAAAAAAAATCAAAAAAACAAATCACGAAAATAAATGAACAAACAGGCAAGAAAAAAAATAATAATCACGAAGGTTCAAAAAGCAATTGTAATTCGTGATCGCGATAAGCTTAATTTGAGCTATAGATACATAATCTAGTTATCATTTCAATCTAAAATTTTACTTAACATTGTTTTTAAACGGTAAATTATATTGGGATAATACATTTTCAAATAAAAACTATTATTATGCATGAATTAAATCCAATAAAACTAAAAAACAATAAAATTGAGACTAAAATAATTAATACACAATAGAATTTTATCAATTTTTAATGTTCATTACAAAGATAAATCCAATTCCACAACACAATGATATAACTACATGAAACAACAAACATGATCTCCAAAACTCTTTATCCGCCATTTGAAACACCTTAAATGTTTTAGATTTTGCAACAATTGGAACATTATTTCCTTCTGTAATATTTTCTTTTGGAAATTGGGTCACGGGAATACTTTTGTTCAAAAATTTACACAATCTTTCCCAGCCTTCTCCGACTTTGTAAACCAACAATTGGTCTTTTGGAACAAGTTGTTTAACGCTCGCTTCATGAAGTCGAATGCTGTTAATCCAGTTCTCTTTATTAAGAGTAGTTGACATATTTTGCGGAAAAATTTTATTAAAAGCTAGTTCTTCCATTAAATGTATATTCGACCATGTGGAACTCAGTAACGACCGAAGGTATTTTTTACTTCTTGATTCTTCCATTAAACTATGCGTCTTTTCAAATGATTTGAACCAAACTTCGTAATTTTCTCTTGTTGTTAGTATAACTTTCGAATCAGGAAAAGCTTTGAATATTTTTTGCCAAATAATATAAGAAGGGAATGCAATAACTGCATCTACTGTTTCATACATTTCTTTTAACAAACCTTCATGCTCTTCGTCTTTTAAAAGTGTTATGTAGTTTTCTAAGTTGATATCATAATGTTGTTCAAAGTCGTGAACGACAAAACCTAATTCAGTTAGTGCTTTTGTCATTGACTTAGTTCCAGTTTTAGAGTATCCAACACATATAATTTTCATTATAATTATTTTTTGATGTGTTCCTGAAAAAAATTAATAACCGTGATTTATATATTTAATAGTGGCAAATAAATAAAAATTAATGCACAAATTACTTACCCAAGTCTTGCATATATACAATCACAAACAAATGTTTAGACATATAAACACACATATAAAGCTATTGGTTTAGCAACTATAAATAAGCCTAATGAATCTTTTCATAGGTCTGTTCTATCAAAGTCGTCAAAAGATATGATCTTTTTTACTAGCATCACAAGAACAATAAATTTCAGCAATCGTTTTTTAAAAAACTAAAGATTAGAAAGAAGGAACGAAAAGACAGGTGTTTTATAACATTTTAAAATTGCATCATCAAACCTTGAGTTTATTATTTGCTTGCAACAATCATGTAATCGAAAAAATGGTATTTAAAGGCATTTGTTTTCTAAAAAAAAAACGCAGAAAAAAAGAGCTTTTAAAAAGTATTTATGGAATAGCTGAATGAAAATTAAATAATAAAATTTCTTATTGATAACACCGAAAGGAGTTTCCTTAAAAATTTAAAATTGTCCTGGGCATTATAATTTCCTAATTCTTCACTGGGCTGCGGTTGTTAAAAACCAACCTCAAGTTAAAAAACGTGAAAGTCCTGATGACCATATTTTTAGCAATCACGAAAACTTGCAATCTTCTCATAAGTCAAATACTGGTAATGTTGGCAACAAGATTAGAATGTTGCCTTCAATTGCAGAAAAAAATTGTTGCTTAATTTTGTATAGAAAATGAAACTAAAAATGTAATGAAAAGTTGATTGAGAAATGCTCAGTTAAGCAGAACGACACAACTGATGAAAAACCCGTTATGGCAAACTATACTGCTCTGATTGCGAGCGGGTTGATTTGTCTCAAATTCAACTTACTGATAATGATAATGGTTGCACACCAGATAAAAGGAACATCAACCAGCTCTCTTTATTATTTTGTTATAGCGTTGAAAGACTTACAAGTTTATGCTAAACCGAGCTCACAAGACGCAGGATATGTTTGATGGGCTGGTGGAGCTCCTCGTGACATTGACCTGTCACAATGCCGGGTTAATCCTGTGATAATGCTGCAGCAATGAGTGATCAGTATGAAGGTATGCAGACAAAAGTGGCAGCTAAAAACAACCTTGTAACAGGCTCCTTGTGTAGATTTATAAAAACTTATTATTTTGATGTAGCGGTTTGTCTCATATCTTGCTAAACCACTACTCACTTTATTTAATCGCTGATAATTCTTTAATTGACACATTCATTTGCTTGAAAAAAAATTACACAATTTGGTTGGTCAAGTAGTTGCAGAATATTTTCTGACGCTTTTTTTTTTTTTTTTTGCTTGAGATGATAAATGTCTTCTTCCCCTGATTGATACATCATTATAAAGTGCTGACGCATCTCTCAGTTTAATTTCCAAAACAAATCCACACTACTCAATAGTCATGTAGAACTGATGCTACGAAATCTCTGTAAAGAGATTATCTACACTTTACGAAAAGCCCTAAATAATGTTACTAATTTCGAAGATAAAATAGCTGGTGATCGTTGCAGCACGCAGTCTTTTAAAATAGATGTCGCAACTTAAGACGGGTATTCGTACAGTCTTCTGGAATAACATTTTATATAAGGTTAATAAAAACCAGAAAAAACATTTGTTGAGTCTAAACAAAGTTGCTTCAAAAAGTGTTTGAACGAAGGCATCGAAATTTAAAACAATAGAATACATCAGAGACACCAACTTCTCGGTCTATTCATCATGCGCAAATAAAAAACATAAAATTATTTATGAAAATTATTTATTTATTCAGAGTTTTTTATTTATTTTTGAATTGGGGCCCTCAAAACTGCCGGGCCGAGGCATTAATACCCCCCTCCCTCAATAGTTTCCTTCTTAATCCAGCACTACCACATCTTCTAGTAATTCTACGGATTTAAAAAGCTAAGTCTGGCTAAAGTAGCTAGAGAGAATAATGTTAGTTGCTCACTCTTAGAGTCATCAATGTAAATGGCCATAGATATGTCCTGACCAAGTACACGTTCTAAAGAAATAACAGCTAGAACTAGAAGTTCTCCAAGACCTTCTGATACTAGTATAAAATTATTAATTTGTGTTATTTTTTAAATCAAATTCAAATTCTTTTACGACTGTTGTTATAGTCTTCTCCAGTTTCGTACTTCTATCTCCACAATGTATGGGGTCTTGCGGCAATCATTACTATGCTCAGTTTTTTTTTCCAACAACAATTACAAGAACAACAAATAAAATCATTTTAAATTTTATTTGGTCCATCAGCTTACAAAACCAACCATCGATCAATTACATTCAAACTAGAACAGAGCATGTATACAAGAATATGAGGAAATAGGGTAGATCTACATTACAAATTGTTAGTGTTACAAAAAATATAATAAAAACTTAAATACATTACAATGACCTAGACATTCACATCCACACCAGGATAATTTATTTATCCCCAAGGTAATAAATTACCCTGGAGGCAAATAAATTACTCTGGGTTTCCAGGGTCGTATTTAACCCCACCAGGTTAAATACGGCGATGGAAATAATATAGAAATAATAAACCCATGTAGAATATAGTTATGCTATTATTTTTTAATTTATTTATTATTTAATTTAATTTTTCAGAAGCATTCTTGATAAAATAATATTTTAAACTCATTATTATCAAATTTAATATAAAACTTTTAAAATCTTTTAGTAATAAAATACTCAATGAGCCTAAAAAATCACAGAAACGTAATAATTACTTCAGCTTTAAAGCAATGAAATAGCCATTATGTTTTTCTAAAATAACTTAGAACAAAGATTTCTACACCTTTAATAACTTCTAGATCATTAATATTTGGCTGCCTAACTTCAAAATAAATGATAGTTTTATCCAGTAATGGTGCAGAATCCAACAAAATACTCCAAAAAGGTTCTTTTTTGAGGGGTGATTCTAAATACATGTAGGAGTCCATACCACAAGGTTTTAAAACCCTATACATTGTCCGTGAGACTTTTTCAAATTTTAGTTTTTAAAATTATATCAAATTTTGCCAATAATAATTTTTTATTTCAAAAAATGTTTAATAAAACTTTTTCTTACAAAAAAACAAATAAAAAGAAATAAATATGTGCAACTTTTTTGTTTTATGAAAACTTACATTTTGAGTGGTAGTTTGTGGCGTATTAACGTTTTAAGAAATGTAAACAAAACAAAACAAAATCAGTTTCTAAATAAATTCCATTGTTTAAAATGACAATGAATAAAGCTGACAGAAACTGTTCGCACTATCCCCGACGATATATATGTGTATGTGTGGGCGTAGGTGTATGAATGTGTGTGTATCTGTGTGTGTGTGTATGTGTGTTTAACACACACATACACAACACAACACACACACATACACACACAACTTTACCATGGCTGGCACGGATGTGTAATTGATTGTAACAGTAAAAAGATTAAAAAATGAAAAATAAAGAATTGATAAAGAATACTTTTGTTATGCCTTTTATCATTGTCTTATCATCTGTCAAAAATTTAAATAATGTATAGTTTTTTTAAAAATTTTTTTCTCCAAACATTCAGAAGTACTTTTTATTTGATTTTTTGATTTTTTTTGATTGACAAAGTTTTATTCATTTTGGGAAAGAAAAAAAACTTACAATAGGCGCAAACTGGTCAAAAAAAAAAAAAAAAAAAATGGAAAAAGTTTCACAGATGGTGTAGTAAGATTTTAGAGCCAATTGGTAAAAATTCCTACATATATCTAGAATAACACCTCCTCCCTCCCCTACCAAAACCCCTAAAAAAGAAAAAACTTTTCGGAGTGTTTTGTTGATACCTAAGTTTTCAAACTATGATCAGTTATTTAAAATACTTTTTTCTTCATTTTTTTTTAATTATGCTTTTATTATAGGTTTTTATTGTTATTACTTATTTTATCGTTAATATTCTCGTAATTTTAAATAACTAAATATTTTATTTTTACGATTACGGTATCGTTTACTATTATTTTTGTTGCGTCCATAATTATTTTTGTCGCGTCCATAATTGAATCAGTGTTTTTTATAAGGGAGGGTTTGCTCAAAACTTCTTGAGCAAACCCGTCCTTTTAAATACACTGATTCAATTATTTTCGTCGCATAGTAAACGAAAACAATTTAAACCTTAATAGCTCAAATGTCGAAAACCACCACGCAAACGAGCAAAATGATCTCCTTCTTTTGTTTTTTGAATAAGTTTTGCGTTGCGTAATTTATGGACAATCCCATAGTAAAACTAAAAAAGTTTAAAAATAACATTCCTCAGACACGAATGGTGTTCTATTAGTTGTAACAGGAAAGTAAAAAACATTTTTGGATTTAGATGAGTTCTTAAGGTTCCTCTCGGACCCAAAAACTTTGTGTGGTCCTAATATTAGTGAAATTTTTATAAGCTGATTTTATAAATGTTATTGTTTTTCATTCGAAATTAAATCTTGCAAAAAAGCAACAATTTTTATAAAATAAAATTAACATTTTTAAAAATAGCATTTTATTCTGGGTCTTTTTGAGTATCAGGTTTAAATAGTTTAGAGGAAAAAAATTTCACTTACTTTAAGTGAAATTTTTTTATTCCTAAAGGAACCTTAACCAATCATTTTGATTGCTAAGGAAACCTCAACCAATCATTTTGATTGCTAAGGAAACCTCAACCAATCGTTTTGATTGCTAAGGAAACCTCTAAAAAATAATAATCATCTCAGTTTTTTTTTTTTTTTTAAAAACTGAGATTTTTTTTTTTTTTTTTTTTTTTTTTACTAAAATTCAACGATTCGCAACAAAGGCAAACGTATTTTCAAAAAGTTTTCAAACAGCTTGACCCAAATAAATATATCTCTTTACAGATAAGTTCTTAAAAATGTGTTTTTAACTTTAGAACATTGTTTATATTTTCAGTTAATTTAAAATCAGTTTAGTAAATAATATATAAATACTAAATAAAAGTTTAAAACATGTTGAATAAAATATTGTATAAAAAAACATTTAAAGTGTTTATCTTTGTAAAGAGAAGCGAAAAACGAAAGTCTTTTTACTTTTTGTCACATGAGAATTAATGGGCTCTATCTATCTCTATCTATCTGCAGTTTTTTTATGTTATGTTATCTATCTCTATCTATCTGCCGTTTTTTATGTTATGTTATCTATCTATCTATCTCTATCTATCGTTTTTTATGTTATAAGAATTCAGCAATTAAAAACCTAATATATTAAATAATGAAAAGCAACTTAAAAATTATTTAAACATTATTATAAGTTAAATAATATAACATAAATATCATAAACGACGCATAGTTTATTATTATAAAAAATAACAGTAGAAAAACATCGAATGATGAAATTAAAAATGTGACGGAAGCAAGAATTTTTGGTTGCAGAGGGGGAGGGGGGGGGGAAGTTGAAATAATTTTGTATTTTGTATCACATTTGCGTCTCCTAAAAAAAAAGGTCTTTGATGCATATCCCGTTCCCCCTCCTTCCTTCCTCTTTGAATCCGTCACTGAAAAACATTTTAACAATAAAGTATTTGAAATGAAACTCTTATAAACTGGTTCATTAAAAAAGACCGATAAAATCATATAAGTCTCATGCGACGTTTTATTAAAACCAGCGAGGGAAAAACCTCAGATTTTTTTAAAACAAAATAATAAAATGATTTTACGCTGCTATTCTGCAACATTACATTTTTCTCCTTCTTTCCAACATTGATTAAGACTCTCCGGAGTATCATTTAAGCTTGCTAAGTAAACGACATTTTAAAACTAAGAATAAAAGTTTAAAAAATTACACAATCTATTTAAAAGTAGAAGTAGGATTATTTGCTCTTTTGCGCAGCGATTCGGACTTGGACTAGACTTAAAAGGCTATTTTGATTTTTGATTTAATTAAAAAATCTGCGAGGGAAAGCTTTTGATATATTTTTTTTTTTAGGACGATTTGCTTAATTTCCCAAATGTTTAAGGAAATTAAGCAGGGTGTGCCTGAAAAGGGGATTTCATATTTAACTTTTTACATTTAAAATTTATTATATTTGAAAATTTTTTTATATTTGTAACCTTATCTTAGCTTATTTATGATTTAAAATGCAATTTACTTAAAGGTCTTGTGTAATAAAATTGAGGGTACCCATTGATATATTTTAATGTATGCTTGTTGTTACTATTTGTTTTTACCTCCTGCTGGTAGGTAAACAATAAAATATGACAACAATTTTTGTCAGGGTGTATATAAAAAAGTATTTCCAAAAGTTGTTTTATGTAAATCATTTTTATTTTTTTTAAACTAATAAAGAAAAAATTTTAAAAATAAAGCTTTATGTTAAGAAATAAAAAAAAAGTATGTCACTTAAAGTTTCTTATTAAGTTATAAAAGTCAAAAATTAGTTTAACCTCCGTCTAATTATTTAAATTTTTCTTATAACGTCTTAATATTAATTTTAATCAAACAATCTTAAGGATTGTCTATAAGATGATAAGAGATGGACGTGCAACTTAAGGTTGTTTTTGCGAACTATACTCAATAATTAGACGTCTGTATTGTTACAAGTCTATTGTTTCAAACAATAGAAAATAGTTGTGATTCTTTACGTCGATTTTTTTAACGATTTATTGAACTTGTTTAGTCAGTCTAAATTATGGTTTTTCATAATATTGTTGTTAAAAATTCATGAACAGTCAGGGCAGTACTTTAGTTGTAATAACATTAACATTGTTCGTAAACGTTCACAATTTTATGTAAAAGTTGTGTATTAAAAATGGCGATGCTATTCGTACGGCCGCCGTGTTCCCATTCTAAAAAGGCTATTCGCACGGCCGCAAAACCAAATCTTGCAATCAGTTTTTGAGTCACTTCCTGATGATCGGAGGATCGAGTCTTGCCTCTTCCTGGATATCTTTTGTTTTTTTACACACGCATACAGCCGAATGTTAATAAAATAAAATAGTGTTATCAGAAAAAACTTATTGCAAAACTTGTGTTTTTAAAACATACAAAAGCACTGTGTTTTAAAAAATAGTTTTTAATTTTACTTGTTCTTTTCGCGTTTTTTTTAGAATGGCAAAGAATTCTATGTAATTACCAAAGCTGTCATTTTTTTCAGATCTTCCTTTTTAGCTTTTAATTTGTTTTGTTGTACCTAATAATTAATTCTAAAGTTACGGTACAGTCCTATTTCAAATTTTGCCAGTTTGAAAAAACACCTTTTCTTAATTGTTTATATGGCAGCCGTGCCAATAGTCTTTTTTAGAAGTTGTACACGGCGACCGTTTAAATTATGTAAAATGTAGTTCTTTGTGATTTTATAATAAAAGACTAATTTTTAAAGCAAACAGCAAGTATGCAATTACGATGTTATCATTGAAGTTATTTTAGTAGTTAAGAAGTAATACAATAAAAAACTTCATCTTTTAATAATGATCTTGTTGAAACAATCTTTTTACCTAAATACACTATAGTAATTTGGTTAATTGTAGCCTAGTTTTGAAAGCAAACTGTTTGTTATAAAAGTTAATAATAAAATTAGTATTAATATAATTAAATTGAAACAGTTTGTATCACGTTAGGATGATTAAATTAATTTCAAACCGGAGTTTTTTTATTTATTAAGAGAAGGCACAAAGGTCAAAAGTTTCCATTGCAGATTCTTTAATTAAACCAAAATCAAAAATTGCCCTTTAAGTCGCCGCGCAATAGAGCAAATAATCTCCTAATTCTATTTTTAAATAAGTTTAACATTGCGTAATTTATGGATGATCCCTTAGACTTTTGTTAATTTGACAAGTAATACCGCAAAATTATAAAACTATTGGAAATTATTTAAATAACTTTTTATTTCTTTCAAACAGTTTCAAATAACTAACAGTGCGTAGTTTAACTGTTGCTTAAGTTTGGTTTTGATTGTTTAACATAATTGTGAAACTTTTTTTTTTTCATAATATTTATGTTGGAAAACTTTTATTTGATTTTTTGGGGTACGTCCAAAATCGTAGTAAACATCCCCTCTACACGTCCCAGGGTGCGGGTTTACCAAACCTTTACTTTTATTTAGATATTTTGTTAGAATGCTGTTTGTTTTATTAAAGTTTGAATTGCGCATGAGTTGCGGCTAAACTTATGCAAAAACTTGAGCAAATAAAATCGATTTGATTTTTTTTTTAATGTAAATTTTTTCATCGTAATGAAATGGCGATAACAACTTTAAAAACTAAATATTTATAAATATTTTTTAATTGCACAATAACTATTAAGGAAAATTAGCAATCATCATACCATAACTATTAGGTACGTGCGTATCCAATGAGTTACGGCACCGATTATGAAATCAAAATCTTCGACTATTTTATCAAAGCGTGCTTAGCGTTTGAGTTGTAAGAATGTATTTTGTTGTGTTATTTTTTAGGATTTTATATCAGCATAGACTTTTTTTGAAAAGTGGAAGAGTCAAACTTCATTTTTGGATAGTTTTTTTTTGTAGTTACAACCGCTTTTATTGAATTAACTTTTCTTAAAAACTTCGTTGTTGATCACACGTCAAATTAATATTGAAGGAATGCTGAGAACATTTTTGAAACTATTGAGAAATATTTAAAAACTTATTTTCTACGTGCATGCCAAATTTTATCAAAAAAGATTATGTAGCAGACACCTAATTTTTTTGTAGCAGAATACGTACCTTAGTTAAAATATTGTAAATAAAGCGCTTCTAGCAACGAAGTTTTTTTTTTTTTTTTTTTTTTTTTTTTTTTTTTTTGATTAACATCATAAAATATTACTACAATGCACGTATACATATGGAATCTCATAAAATAAAATATAAAAGTATATACATTACAACAAAATTAAGTTAAATCAGATAGGGGCTCAAAGAAGATAAGGGTAACATTACGTTATCGCAATACAAGTTTAAACAAAACAACGTAAGAATAAATAGCTTGTATAAAAATATAATAATAACAATGTTATCATTAAATAGTCAAGACAAGGTTAAATTAATCAAAAAAGTAAAAAGAAAGTAAATTCAGATTTTAAAAATTTCTTTTTTTAATTGAAACTTAAATGAATTTAAAGACTTCACCTTAAATTTAAATTCCTTTTGACAGTCATTCCATAATTTAGGTCCTCAATAAGATATACAAAATTCTGAGAGTTTATTACATTTCCGAGGCAATTTAAAGTTTTTATTTCTATTTGATCTTAGACCATACTTTTCATTTAAAATTATTTCAAACTTATCTTTGAAGTTTGCTGGCAAGAGGTTGTTATAGTTTCTATACATAAAAATTAGATGCTGATAAATATTTATTTCAAATATATCCATCATTTTCATATCTCTCATAAGAGGTTTTGCATGTTCACGTTTATGTTTACAGCATATAATACGGCAAGCGTGTTTTTGGAGTCTATAAATTTTTTGAAGTTTTGAAGTTTGCGTACTTGCCCATGATATATTTGCATAATTAATAAAACAGTGTATCAGCCCAAAGTATATTAACTTGAGACTTAACATATTGACGTATGGCCTAACCCTATACATTACGCCAATAGTTTTGGTAACTTATGAATTTATGTAATTTATATGGGGAAACCAGGATAAATTTTCATCGACAAGGATTCCGAGGAATTTTATACTTGCTTGCTTTTTAATTATTGTATCATTTAAGTACAGTTCGCGCAATTTAAGAGGAATGTTTAATTCTTGTGCAAACATTATTGAGTTCAGTTTTAATGATGCATTACAAAAGTCGTTAATATAGATTAAGAACAAGAGCGGACCAAGGATTGATTCTTGTGGAACTCTGCAAACGACATTTAATATTCCGGATTGCACATTATGAACATATTGCTTTCTATCAGTAAGAAAGTTCCATAACAAAACTACCGTTAGCCGAAACTGACATTTTAAATCGCAGATTTTTTAAGCAACCCTTGTAATCAAACTTTGTTACTTAAATGAGCATAACTTTTTGTAGAATTGTTATTTTGTTATGAATTTTTCACTATTGTAATGCTGATTTTAGCCTCTTTTCAATGATATATAATAATCAATAATAAAAATAGTTTAAAATTCTTACACACGTGCCTATAACTATGGAGTTAACATTATTTTTGTATTTATCATTAGTAGGTTTTTGTATTAGTTAATCTATAAGCTTTGATATGGGAAATTTTTTGAACTGTTGTCTTAGCCAAATTTGCGAGTAACTTTACAAATAATTTAATTTATAGATATTATATAATACAAAATATTATTGTAACTGATACTCTTTTTTTTATATAAGCATAATGCTTATTCGCTCACCTAGGCTGGAAAAAAGCTCAGTTAAGCTAATCGAGCTTTTTTCCGAAATTTCATATGCTTATAAAAAAACATGTAATTAGCAATGCTGTTAATATTTAGAAAAGTTGTTACAATGCTAGTTGTTGAAATTGTATCAACTAAATGGCCTAACAACCTTAAAAATGTGGTGCTCTCAATAAATGTTCAATAAATAAATTTTGTCAACTTAAAATCAAATTTATAACTAATAATAAAAAATATAATTTTTAAGTGTGTAATTTATTTAGTATTTTGAAAGTGAAGAAAATTTGAAAGAAAGCTTCTTAGACTAAATTTGTAAGTTAAGTTTAAAATCAGGCTAATCCGTAGAATCGGCTGACGAGCTCCTAATTTAACTGATGCTATAATAAAGCTAACGAACTCTTAATAAGAGCTTAAGTCTGACCACTAATTTAAATA